ATTGTTATTTAAAATATTTATCAATCGTAATTTGTTTTTTGCGTTAAGTAACTCCATGACCATATTTTCATATGAGTAATATTGCCCCTTTGGCTTTGTCGCTTATTTTGAGTGCGTATGTGTGTTCAGGTAGAGAGCTCTAAAATAAAGCCCAGTCTCGTCCGCATTGAAAATATCAGAGGGTGAGTATTGGGCTAGCAAATCGGTCTAATGAGTTTCAAACCACGATTGGCCGCACGCAAATCGGCTTAAATCTTAGCGTTTAGACATTTTTAGATTTTTAGAAAAACGAAACACTAATGATCTTTACGGTACGCACGCCGAGGCTAAACTACAAACGGTACGACCGGTACGTACAGAAAGAGCATCCTTACGATAAGTACAGTAAAAATAAACGTAACGACAGCAAAGATGAGATTGTTATTCAGTTGTATATGTCAACTGACCTCCGCTTAATTGTTTCAGATAACCGATGTGATGTTTCAATAATCCGATTTATTTTCAATGTTCTAATATACGTCCGGTCCGATCCGTCCCGAGACATTTTGTTTCAATAACGCGATTGTATCAGTTATCCCCGTGTACCTAATAAGCGGCTTCTACTGTATTGCTTTTCCTATAATCCAAAAGAGTGAGGAAGTTGGCAACCTAGTCGAATAATTACAACTTATTAAAGCTACTGATGTGTCAACACCAACACTATCAGCTTCATATCTTAACGGAATAAGCATTAAATGGAAATTTATGAAGTGTCATATCCCTAGCTTGCCAAACTTTGGAAACTTATATTAATGTGCAATGAGATCTGTTTTTGAAGTTCAGAAAAGGGTTTACCTTTGAGTGTTTTGGACAGTATCCTAAACAACTAGAATAACGGTAATCTCAGTAACGTAATGAACGTACGTGATGAGAAATTTGTAGGTGCCATGCCGCCAAATTGGATTTACAAAATACCTAACTTACTACTACCTACTGTTATTCGACCTTAGTACTACATTTTTTACATGTTAATTTAATAATTAATGTACGCCATGTAAATACATATTGTATTTTATTTTAATTTATGTGCTCTAAGCCTCTAAGTAGAACATTATTATTGATCAAATTTTCAAATTTTACCATTGAAACTATTGTGCGATCGTTGAATGGAAATGCTAATGAGTATATTAAACGTTCTGACCTAGTTGTACATATGTGCAATTTTCATTAAATTTTCCAATATGCTCAATTAAATATTTGCTTTAAATTTGTAAATGTTAAAAAAATAGTGTACAATAACCAAAAACTAATATACATATTTTCAAATGTTGTTTGCAGATTTTCAATGTAAATATATAGATTCAATATGGCTTTGAAGTGTCAAAGTACATAGTTATGATGATTTTCAATTTTATAACGTGTTTTGATGACATAAAATGCTTACGATAAATTAGATTTTTAAAATTGTTTTCAATCGTGAAAAGAAAAGAAAATAATTATGGTTTGATAAAATTTCAAACATTTTTGAAATATAATAAAACATGAATGTTACTAATTTTGTTCTTGTAATAATAATAAAAAATATATGTACATGTATATATATTTAAAAAACATTTTTGATAAGAAAATATATTTATTAATTTATAATCTCTGTATTGTCTATTTAATTATAAAATATAAATTTAATTCTAACTTATAAGACTATTAGATATTTTATATTAAGCTAAAATTAAATATCATACTATTGTTATTTGTTTATTTTTATTTTTATTTCTGATCCCTCTGTCAACATAGCAATAGGATAAGACGTAGCACAAATGTATAAAATACCAGTTTAATATATTTTACATCACGCGTCGAAAAAGACAATCTGCATAATAATAAGTACCTACCTAACTGACCTAAATGATAAATTTAATGTACTATATTTGTCCGACGAATGACGAACAATGAACGTGCCACGTGTATTCAGAATAAGAAATAAAAATGTGAAAATTTAATTAAAAACATTAAGAAGAGCTAAATATGTTTAAGTCGAGGTATACACACGAATAGTATTAATATTCCTTATATCCTACTATACTATTTTAAGCATGCGCGTAAATAGGGGCTTTAAATGCAGAGAGCTTGAGCCCAAAAAGTTTCAAGGACGAAATAAAGCGTGAGATTTTATCTCCCACCCACTTCATACACACAATTTTGTTTATTATTTGTTTTAATTATCATTTATGTTTATGTTTGGACGACTTGGTTAATTGTATCCGCACACGCATGTATTCCCTGCTCATATACGTGTTAGTTAAATACTCGGACAATACATTTCATCCCAAAGCAGCAACACTCGGTGTGAAAAATTGTTTTTATGACTACTAACTACTTATAAATTATAACAGACCATTATTTATTTGTAAAACGTTAAAACGAAAATCAATGAAAACCTACCAACATATTATTATTACTATTAAAGATTAATAATGACTATTTCCATTGGTTATAAATTATATAATTTATTGTAATAAGGATTACCTACCTATATCCTACATTAAAATGTATAGTATTAAATATTTTAAGAAACTCTCTTAGGCTTCTCTCCCTATTTTTGTCCACGGTTTTAAATATTGTATTCGTTATATTATTAAGTTTAAATAGGCAAATAAATTCGATAAGCGATAATACTACTTTTTTACTTGTATTGCTTCAATATAATTTGAATTATATGATGATAATGCGCTGAATTTAATACATAAGTAAATTAAGAAGTTTTAAATAAATGTTAATAACGATGTAATAATAATAAAAAACAGAACATAATATCATTAATTATATAACGTGAGAGAGTTTGATGGTTTTATTCTAAAGAGATAACTATTTATTTTATGCTCACCTGTGTTGAGATGTTTTCCGTGCGTTTTTGTGGTAGATGTAGAGAAAACATAAAAATATTATTTTGTTTTAATTATTTTAAATTTATTTTTATAAAAAAAAAAAATAAAAAAAAATTGTCACGAAAAATTTAATTGTAAATGAATATGTAAAAATGATTAGTGATGTGCGTGACAAAATTTATGGATAGAAATAATACAGACGGACTTACAAGTGATAGACTGTCTGGAGCCTTTTCAACGGAAAGTGAAGGTTATGGACTGTTGCTTTGATTATCACGTGACTAATGAACTTCTGATAGATCCAGGATTAAATGAATATGTGATTAGTATAAGTATTTTTGATTATTTAGTTGTTATGTATTATTAACAATATGTTAATATTACCGATTTACCAAATTATATAACATACGCAATAAAAGTGTTAATTTGAATAATTTAAATAATTGACCATAGGTGAATAGCAAGGGAATCGGTAATTTAATAAAACAATATTAAATTGTAAATAGCATACAGAAAAAACGCCCGACATCGGTATATACACGTATCAGGTTCATATTACATAATGTACAACACTTATATGGCGTTTATCCGCTGATTCAATAATAATACAAATTAATTATTAATATTGTGTTGTCATCAATAACGAACGAGCGCATAAACGCTGTTAACCATCTAAATTTGAACAAATAAAAAATAAATTCAAAATCATTTTAATCAATATTACAATTCGATATTAATAATAGAAACATACAAATACGTATAATGACCAAAACCTTTAATGATAATTACTGCAATTAAAATTAAAAAATATAATAATAAAATATTCCACCGACTTTATTTTTATAAATGAGCATAAATTCAATTATAAAATTTGAATCATATATATAAAAACCACAGTGTTATTATGATTTTGTTCTTCAAAGTTTAATCCATCAAATATAACTTTTTACGCATTGGCGGGGTTTTCGTTGGATATTGCGTTATTCGAAATCCTTCTTCAATTTAATAATTTTGGAATTAATTATATTAAAACCATCGAGGTACATATTTAATAACATTCCAGAGTACTTGCTGAAGAGTGTAAAACAGAAGATACAAAGCGTATACTATAAGGATTCATTTTTTTTTTTTTTTACCAAGTTATAAATATCTTATATAAAAATCGCGTAACGTAGGTCGTATATAAAGAATGAATACTATAAATTCCATTAAGTTGTTTTGAATGAGTTTTTATTTTATTTTTCCCATATTTTATAAACAATTTCATTGCTAGTTAAGTGAATCACATGCGTTCCGGAACCGCTTGTTTGTTGCCCATTAAATTCATACACAGACCGCCGTAACGTTACGTTTAAAATTTGGAAATTTCTTAATTTGGTGCACATCACATTACGTCAGTGAACGCGAAATCCCTGTTTAATGCAAATGAGAAATATGATATAATCGAGATTGCAAAATAATCATGCAGCGTACGCAAGTATTAAGATTGAATACGCCACTATTGGTAAGCCGCCGTTGCCGCCTTGAAAATCTCGCACACACCCTTCAGAACGCGTTTCCCATAATACACACATCAGCTGAGTCGTGACGATCATAATAAATAATGTTATTGTCCTATTTTAAATTCAAAACTCTAAATAAACGTTTGCATACTTGTCAAAACGAACGTATTTGAAAAACCAATGCAATACGTGATTATTAAAGTTGCGGAGATTTTACGCCATTGCAGAAAGTAGCTAGTTAATCAAATAGACAGGATTTTTTTTTTTTGAACGACTGAACAATTCAAAACTGATAAAAACTTATGTAATGCATATTAAGTTACTTGAACCATTGATTAATGTTTATCGACGATACGTTAAATTATCTCAGAAAATCTTAGAATTCAGTAGAAAAAATGACAACAAATTTAAAAACGTAATCAAAGATATAATAAAATAATTAACGTTTATGTCTATAGAGAAAACTTTTATAGACATCCTTCCAACACTAGCGAAAAAAAAATGATTTCTATACTTCCTTGAGAGGCGTTAATATTGGACATAACACTCGCACTATTAAGTAATTCGATTTCGAAAAGTCTCAGTAGTCTTACGACCAACCCTCAAGACATGTTTATAAAATACAACACGCACGTTATAAATAAAAAAAAAAATTTATTGTTCTTAAATACTAACATTGGGAATAATAAATGCATGTACAGTGAAGGACTTTGGAGGTTTTGACGACGATTTAGTATATTGTATAATGGAAATAAAGTCGTCCTCCTTCAGTCGTCGTCTAAACGTTTTCTGCAATTCGATTTTTTAAACTTGGACTTCTTGAATGAAATTGATTCGGTTGATTCTTTCTTTGTCAAAGCACTCACACTTCCTACTATCTTTTCCTTGAACGTATGTTCTTTTTCTTTGGTATTCGGCACCTTAATCGCCACAAATTCCTGAACTGGTAACTGAAGATCGATCACCGGCTGTTCGCTGCAAACAATTAATACAAGTATATTATTAAACGTAAATAATAAACAATAATAATGATTTCATTACAGTTATTAGTAAATTTCGAGGGGGAAACAGAACGCAGTTGAATCAAATACGAATAACCTTTAAAATGAACATTTTTAATTTTTAATTTATATTTACAAAATCATTTTCACGAAGAAGTACAAGCTAAAACATTTAGTTCATATAAAAATCGTTGTTCAAATAAAGTTTCCACTCGGTAGAGTTTATACATATTTACATATTTTCACAGAGAAACTTCAAAATCAATATAAACAAACTCGCTTTTGAAAATAAAAATCATAAGGATATGAAATGTCATAATAATAATACCATTTTTATTATTTGTTAACTTAATATAATATGACATATTTTTATCAGCATATTCACTATTGTAGTCGTCATCAAAAACTGCTTGAAATTCGTAAATTATTATTGCGATTTTTGAAACATATTGTTTAATAAATTCGATTAACGTTTTCAAAGTAAATTTTACTAATGAATAAACCGGAAAATAATAAAATATGAATTTCATCAACATAAAAATCACGCAATTCATTTTATATTTTAAATCATTAAACTGTGCAATTTGTAAAAGATACATACACCATAGACTCTAGATATATATTTTTGTCATAACTATTTAGTTTTTTGCTATTTAATATTATTTAATGGGAAAAAAGCTTAAAGACGCCATCTTGTTTATAAAAAAAAATGAAACATAAATATTAATAATATATTTTTTTCTTTTTAAGTGCTTGAGTCATCATATGATATATTCGGTGATAATTTTTACTAGTGCGTTTAATTCTTATTTAATCAGAACTTAATTACTAGGTATTAATATTTTTTGATGAAAATTTAAGTTAACGTTTCAGAAGCTAAATAAATATTTACAAATCAATTAGATCAATCGTAAGATACGATTTTTCACACACATACGTATTATTGTTTTTAATTTGAATTAAAATATAATTTATTGTAGGGGTCATTTTAGTGAACCAAAAAAACTACACATATTTTATATGATTGTATACTATTTAATATATATATATACTAGTTACGAATAACTAATAAAATACTTTTTTGTTTTATATTAAAGATAAAAGGTCAATTGAAATAAAAACATCCGGTGTTTGGAATAGATGCGTTGTTATATATAGAACAATAAGTACTTTTAGATTCCGAACGAATCGGTGAATGCATTTTTTTTAAAACTACAAAATTATGTGCAGAACGAATTGGTATTGCTGTTAATGAGCGTTTACATTTGTATTTGTATTAGGGCAACAATTTATAAACCGCTTACGATTGTAAGTATGATACTCGCATTATGTTATAAATAAATATAATGTACGTTCAAGATAAAACACAAAATAAGTAACATATTTTCTCAATAAACGTTAGGTAGTGCTTAAAAAAAAAAAAAAAAGTTTATGCAATTTTCAGTATAATAGAACAGTTGGATAATACAATTTTATAAAAATTTTAATAAATTCATTTTTTATGAATATTATAATAATTTAATTAGGTTTTAGAAGTATGTTTTTTTTTTTTTTTTATATATATAATGAAAACTCGACTATCAGTCAAAATATGTAAAGTTTCAATGTATAAAACTTTAATTTATTATGTTCAGTAGCTATGATATAATTTTTTTTTTTTTTTTTAATATGTATATGTTAAGTTTTATTAAGTTTAAGTAAGCCTATTAGTATGACATTATTTTACGAAATATATTTCCCACTTTACACAACTGAACAATAAATGGTTATAACAAATTATAAATCTAAAAAAAAACATAATCAAATATTATATTGTTTAGTAAAATTACATATTATCCAAATACTTCAAAATTAAATTTATAGTTTAAGCAAATAATTGTTTAGAGATAGAAACATTAACTTGGTATGACTCAATATAATTATTAACTATGATAAAGTTATATTATCAATATTCTTTATAAAGAAAGTTATGAGCCTTAACTGTTAACTTAATATTGAAGTGTTATTTAAAAAACTCAAAATAAAAAATAGATATCTACTTAAATATATTATTTAACTGTTTTAGCTCTAAGAAATATATTTTAGGTACTTTTATTATTATTTTTAAATCATCATAAAAAAATTATTTTCTGGGATTTATTTTGATTTTAAACCCTTAATAACCATGCCCATTTTAATTTGAAAAAAAATCACCTATACGTTTTAATAGTCTATATCTACCGTATTATATAGAGGTTTGAGATTTAATTTCTATACAAGAAACATATATAATATGTACTATATATTGTATAATAAAATATAAGAAATATGACGTAAATGCATCGTACGGAGCATGATATATGTTGTAATAATGACATTTATTATGAAGCCCAAGACACATACACATTAGCGGACATGTTTCGCATTAGTCGTTGGACTTAGTCAGCCGATTATTTGTAACGTAAATTGTATATATATATATATATTTAATGATCAAAACGAATAACGTTTTTTGTCTGCCAAAATGGCTTACCCCAAACAATGAAAAATAGCTCTGTTTCCAAGCTATGTACGTGCTAATCTGTGTATATATATATAACTGTTGAAGGTCGTGTATAAATATATATAAATAATAACAATGACATTTATATCAATAAAAAAAATGGACCGTGGCATGGTGCGTTCAAAATTCGATTCAATATAATAATATATTGATTACACTTTTACCTAGAATAAATGATCAAACAGCACTTGGGTCAAAAAAGGTAATGGTCAAACTGTATTTGGGTAAATAGCAGGTAATTGTCGAACTGTAATAATACAAAAAAAAAAAGGTTTCAACAAAATAATTTGAAGAATAAATTTATAAACTTTAAAAATGTTAGGAATCTTGTTTACAAACGTAATAATGGTGTATTTAATATATTATATTGCATTATATGGGTTCGTGAATAGCATTTAGATGATGTGGATAATTTTTAGACGTGAGTTATCACATAATCATGAAGAACCACTTCATTTATCTCGAAAAATTATTTTAAACTCACCAAAGAGAAAAGAAACTGATCGAAATTTTTATAAACTACTAAAAGTTATTAAAAAACGATTTATCAATGCTCCTATCGAATTAATAAAATTTATAACGATATAAATCGAAAATGAAAACATATATAATATCATGGACATCGAAACAACTAATTGATTTTACCAAAATCTCTTAGTGATATATGTGACATTATTATCCAAATATATTCGTATTTATTAATGTCCTAACGCAATAAAAAATAACAACTTCTATATTTTTAATGCAGAATATTGACATAAAACCTTCAGTCACACTGTGCCAGAAAAAAATAACATAATTGGAAAATGTACAAACTTATTTACTCAAAAATTAATTACCAGATTACAGTTTTTGAATTAAGTTTTTTATAATAATTACTATAAAAAATAATTAATAAATTTAAAAACACTTGAAAAAAAATTATGTCACATTTACATATATATAATTATAAATATAACAAAATTCATTTTTAAACCACGCCGATGGTGAAAATTATTGTGTGTCCTAATCCTGTACGTGGGAAGGGAAATGAATGTTGCCTAAACGTTTAATCCCTTGAAATGCATGATATTTTTTGTCAAAATACCTTTTTTGACTCCGAGTACAGTTTGACCATTACCTGTTTTTTTCTGAGTGCAATTCGACTAAAATAAGTGCATCTTACTTTAGTATATATATATATATATATATATATATATATATGTGTGTATATGTATATGTATAATCAAATCGCGTATAAATTATAGTTTGCAAAACAAAAAATACATAATCAATTCGATCACCAATACGAAAAAATTATAGTTTTCTGTAGACTCACATCTTTTCCACCGTTTTCCAAGACCCGATACGCGTCGTTTCCGCCATAAACGGTTCGAATTCACCGCGTACCGGAGGCTGAGGATCTTCCGCAGCGTTTTCGTCACCATCGTCATCGTCATCGACGTCGTCGCCGGCTTTCTTGTCCGTAGTCTTTTTCCGTTTAGCTTTCGATCCGGTCGCAGGCGCTTTCTTTTTGTTCGCTGCCTTATCCTTGCCTTTGTTGTCCTTTCCCTTGGCGCTTTCGTCCGCTTCCTGTTCGGCTACGCTCAAGAAACCCTCTTCTGGTGGTTCCCAAACTGACTCTAAAACACATTTGTTGACACACTATTGAAATAAATAAGCTGAATCACTCCCGGCTATTATACACAAGACGATTCAGAGTTGGAATACATACATACTTTAAGATTAAAAAAGAAATTGAGTAAATTTGGTAAATAAATTATCTTGTATTATACACAGTATCTCGCCGCGTAAATAAATTATATAAATATATATTTTTTAGTGGCAATGTGTATATTGGTATTTTATGAAATTGTTTAAATTAACTAAGCATTAAATGAAATACCAAACAATGTATGAGTAATTTATTAATTGCATCTTATCAGTATTCATATCAGACAATATTGCTTTAATAAATCCATTAGTTATCTGTAGATCGATAAGTTTAATGTAGTATAGTATCGACTGTCGAGAGATAATGCAATAATAATTTTTTCGTTATCATAGTGATGTATCAAACTAGTCTTTTTACTTTTCAGTTTTTGACAAAATGTCGTACGTAAAGAATCGAATGTGCGATATGAAAGATCGTTTCAAGTTATCAAAGCAGCAATGTGACATAAAAAATAGTATGTTTTGGTCGTTAAAATAACAATAGCAATCTATAATTGATCCTGTAAAAAATAATAATAATATTTTATACTATACAAAAGAAAGTGATGTTTTTGATGTGTTACATGATGCTCTCCAATTGTCAGGACATAGAGGACGAGATTAAATATTGTATGAACTTAACAGTAAGTTTAAAAATATCAAGCACTTTGAAATAGATCTTTATTAGTCATCATATGAACTACGTCAATTAAAACACAAAAAATATTAGAAAAAGATTAATTTGAAGCCCATTATTTCTAATGAATTTATTGGTCACTGTCAAGTTAATGTGATTAATTTTTAGTTGAATGCTGATGAACTTTTTTAATTAATAATGGCATTTAACTAAGTTTATCGTCATAAAACCGTTAAAGACAAAAACTGCAGACGTTACTTATAATTTAATTGATATTTTCACTTTACTTGAAACATCTTCCATATTACAATTCCACAACGACCGTAAATTTTCTGATCAAATTGTTCTAATTTGAAAAATTATTGACCCAATTTAAAAGTCGTTTATAGAAATCCTTGATATTCCCAAATTAAGGGGCAAACCAAAACATTCAGAATATGTTGATGACACGGATCAGGGATAATGAAGTAGAGTGATAATCCAAGATTTATTCAACTGATGAAAAACCGCGTTTACTAAACACTTTTTGATTAAAAAAATATGTAAGTTGGTTTAGAGATATAATTTCTATCATCAGGTATTTTAAAAGATCGAGATCACAATTTCATTGGCCCAACTAATCAAGAAATATTAACAATAGACAATTCAAAAAATACGATCGACGTAAATGTTTCAAAGAACATATTACTTTCAAAACTATTACTACAAATAGCGAAGATAATATTACTAAGGTCAACAAAAATATGTATACAGTTGATATTAATATAAATAAAGGATAATGTTTCAGAAGAAAACGATGAAAAAAAGGTTCAATGTTCAGCATATGATTGCAAAATGCATGAAAGTTACAAAATATATGCAGAGAAAGAGAATAAAGTACATTTTTTATGTAAATTTTTTAACACAACTAAACTATAAAAAAAAAACCAACAAAAAGAAGCACACATCAATTTGGAATTATAAGTGATCAAAGTTAAGACTAAGTCAAATAAAAAAATTTTACGGTACTAGTTGGAAACACGGCAAGAGTGCCAATTTCAGATATTGATCTAGAACGAATTAAAACTCATGTTTTGGCATGTATTTTGAAAGTTACAGAAGATGGATTTTAATATTAAGGAAATAAAACATGTTCAACAAAATGTCAAATTAGCCGAAGTAAGTGCTTAAAAAATTTAAATAAATAAAAATTTAAAATATCATCCTAGTTTACAGTGCTATAATAAATAAACTTAACTATTCTCTGTTAACCTTAACTCATTAAACGTATTTATTTTTTTTGTAACAATAGAATATTTTTCATAATATTTATTTAGTCTCAACGAAATTTAAAATAATTAAAAAAATGAATTGTATTTTCCTCTTATAAATATCTACGTTCTACATATACATTTTTGTATTTTCCAGAATAATATAATACGAGTATTAATAATAATTAATAACTGTGTAATACTATACATATTTTTTTTTCGTTTTTATGAATGCATTATATTCCGTAATATGAAATTGGTACGTTGTAATAAATATTTTTTCGTGTACTAATAAAATGTATTGTCTCTGGTTTAGTACAATTATGATAAAGGGAAATAGATTTTTCTATTCTGCAGTTTGACAATTTGTTACTTGTAATTTTTTTAAATGCCCAGTTATTATACAAAATACTTAAGAAAATAAAAATATATTAAACACTTCTTTAAAAATCACCAGGTATACTTTACCACTGACAGATATCTGACTTATGTAAATATTTTAAATGCGTGGCGTACTAAACGGTGTTCTAATAATTGAATTATACAATTTAAAATTAAGGCTGTTGAGAAAGGTATACGCATACAGGAGCCAAGATTACAGTGTATAATATATTCAGCGAAAAAAATACCAACACGGCAAGACAATTTTTATATATCTAACTCGTAGTACTGACCTCCGGTCACGGTGTTCCAGTAATACATTAGATCGGAACCGTCTTCGGTCCTAGACTGGTGCCAGATGAACTCGGGTTTAGGCGCCGCCACTGGTTTGATGGACACGGGCATGTTGTTTTTCGAATAGCTGATGTTTACGTGTGGTCCTGCCGGCTGCGAAGTCATTATGTAAGGCGTAGGACGTATAGATAAGCCTTTCTCTTTGATAAGTACTTGTGACGAATAATCAGGATTGTTCTGTATGTCATTGTAGTACGCTTTCATTGCGTTCTGTGTTTGAAATAAAATTGTAGGTACAAAAAATAATATTAAAAAAATTTTGAATAATAACGACGCATTTCATAGTTATTTCTATATTTACGAAGTCATTCCAATACCATAACTACAACCCGTTAATAAGGGATAACACATATCACAATTATATTAATTACTCAACATAATACACGAATAAAATATCCATAATATATTTTCAATGTAAAATAGAATAAGGGTCATAGTATAGGTTAATTAATAATTATACAATAATAAATACCTGTTCCATCCGTTTCATGTCCATTTCCAATTTTTGTTCTTCTTTCCGTTCGATGGCACTATTTTTTTTAATGTCCACCAACCGTTTGGCCACGCTGCTTTGGTGCCGTTTACCATTTTCATGAAATTGAATACTCTGTCAAGCACAAAGATTTACAAAAATTTAGGTATATTATAATAATAGACGAATCTCAGTAGCAGATACAGGATAATGCTGGTGAGTGTTATATCCTTAAGAATATTTTACAGTCTAAACATGTTTAATATATCGACATAATATTACTTTAAAATTAAATTTTTATGACAACATCGTTATTGCTTATAGCATATCTGAAAATGTTTTGTGGCTGCCACTAAAAATTCATATCGATGTGAATAAAATACAATAAATAATATAATAAGACATACTACGATTGTGAATGGAATAGTAAAACATATACTCACAGGTTTGTTATCTGCAATCCAACATTTACAAAAGTCGCAAAATTTTTTGCCAGTAGATTTCCAATACTCTGTCCTGCAGAAAAATATGTTTTCATTAATAACACGTCGTAAAATTTAATATATTTTACGATTTATTTTTAATACATCACATTTTATTACACATAGTTACAGTCAACAGTCATATACTATTTTCAGATTAAAGAATAATTAAGATACTGCAGTTGTCTGTTTTTGAATTTAAACATTTAGAAGACTACAAAGTATAATTAAACATACGGAAAAATAGTTTTGTTTTTTAATATTTAAATAAGTTTATTACTTTGCATCATAATTTTTTATCTATTCTTCATTTTTATATTTTAATGATTTATAGATGACATTTTATATTTTGAACTACTCTAAATTTTTTGTCAGAAACATGATATTCTTTTTTTATTTGTAGAAAAATTTACGATCTATAGGCATTTCTTAAATACAGTACACAAATTCGCTGATAATACAATAATAAATATACATAAAAAAAAATAACACACGAGGAAATTCATCCTCCAGTGATGAAATCCTTAACAGTTAACATAACATTTAAAATACAATAAAATAATCTGAGACTTATCGGTAACGAAACAAATTATTTATTACTTTTATTATGATATAATAACATGATATTTTTTATACTCTTATAAATATGCCCAACTATATATTTATATATTAATAATAATATACAGAAAATGTTACAGATAATTAAAAGCAAGTAGTTAATAAATATCATATATTTACATGTTAGGTAAGCCTAAGAACATGTGAATAATTTATAACAACCATCTTAAGCAAAAACTCAATAACTGAGATAGAATGTACTTATTCCATGAGTACAGGTTGATGTAACCATAATGCGTATTAGAGACAATTTTATTCCAAGCTCATTTAATATACATACAAGACCTGTAATCGACTACCTTTACAAATAATCCTACAGCATCATAAATTGTCTTCATGTTAACGTAAACAAAACACATATCTACTTTGATCTTAAATAAGTATAAAATGATAAATTTAATAATCTGTTTTAATTTAATTCTCATTAATAACACAATATTCTGTCGTTATTTATTTTGAACTTAAATGAAATAAGCGATTTATACATTTTATTTATTATACATACTTTCAACTTTGATAATTATTTATAAAATTAATTGTGTTGCCAATAATTAAAGAATAGAATAATTTATTACGCAAATATTGTAGATACTAACTACTAACATGTAAATAAGTACCTGCTAACTATGGTTATACTAATAATACTATTATCGGATCATTTAAATGTTTCATTATTTTATTTTATATTGCGCAATTCAATTACTTCAAATTAAAAATAATTTGCTGAAAATTCAGCCGTTGTTATGTTTAAGTCACATAACATAATTATTAATTATCGACAATGGTCGTAAACTTAAATATCCCGAATTTTAATATAAAATTAATATTATACTCGTACATAATTATATAATATCATTATGTCCATTTGTTATTAAAAGTAGACCACACCGGAAAAAAATACGACACAAAAATGTTTTCACGAGTTCCAATAATGAAGTTTACTGAAAGGTTTCAGAGAAAAAAACCTTTTTTAAAACTTGTAGATAACAAATTTTTCTAGGGCAGTTTAGGTTAATTGTCTCGATATAAAATGTAAAAAACAAAAACATTCTTAGATTAACTGAAATATTCAGCTTTGAAAACAAAAAACAAAAATCTAGTCCTATATCGCCCTAGCTAAAGTTGTTCTCTACAACTTTTATTTAAGGTTTTTTGTTCTAAAATCACTCGGCAAGCTGTATTTTTGGAATTATAAATATATAATGTACCTATTTTAGTATTACAGTATTTAAGTAAAATTAAATTAAAAAAAGGTACGGGTATACAATAAAACAGCAGGCGTTGAATATAATATGGTAATTGCGCCAATATTCAAAACGGGTGTAAAATCCGCGAGGAGATTATTACGAGATGCGTAGGTATACGGCGTGCATTACCCTTCACATATACCGGATATATATATATATATATATATATATATATATATATATACATATAAAAAGGTCTATAGAAGCTTTCGTCCTTAATACACATTATATGTACAGCACTACAGCGTAAGTTTTGTTTTCATCAGTATCGTAATAATAATAGCTAATTCTATACAATGTATATACATATGTGTGTGTATACGTATAGATTATATAGGTTTCATGATCGCAAAAGTATATCATATATGTATTGTTTTATACATATATATATATATGATTGAAATAATAAAAATAAGCGTATTATATTCAGTAACGAGCTAAATGATTTGTCGTCTTGACTCGCAACGAACACGTTTATCTCGATTCCCGATTATTATACTAACGGGCACGCACACGAACTATTTATTGTATATATTGTATCTTATATATAATAAAATTTATCGTATACCTACAAGAAAGTACCTAGCCTATAACTAATGTATAGTATCGTACTATCGTGTTGTATAAATAACGTATAAATATTTGATTACGTTCGTTCGAACAGTCGACGCGGTCCTATCGCGTGCGTTTGGACAAAAAAAAATCCATACAAATTATAATGGATAGGTATATTATTCATAATCATAATATATATTATGTACAGCTGCGGGTATATAAACAATATATTGTAAAATACAATCGAGTCGCGATAACTCGAAGTTTAAGGGGGATAAAAATTCACCTCGAGATATGTATTATTCGAGATACCCAACTCGAACTCATCAAAATAAAATCAAAACTTCGAGTTACCCATGTTATGAAATATAGTTTTAAAATTTTACGATAAAAACGTTATGACAAATACAATACATTTATGTATATACATAAACGCTATAGAAAAACTAAATAAAATTTAAAAAATAAATACAATAAAATTATAATATGTACATACCTAATATGTATTATTTATGAGATACGGTAAAAAAATAATTTGCTATTAATTTTTAGTTTTTTGGCTGTTTATTGAAAAAAATCTTCTAATTTGCCTATGGATTCGAAAATAGAAGTATCCACGACTTCGACAGATTCAACAAATTGCCTAACAGTTTGTAATGATGACATTGCTCGGTTCGCCGTAATCATATTTAAAGTTATTTCGGGCTCATCATTTTCATTATTTTCGGAATCACTATTTGATATTATATTTATACCCATGATTTCGTTATCAGTTAACAGTCCACTGACTACAATATTTTCATCGACTGTAGCATATTATGATTGTAATGTAATCTATTGATCGATATTAAGTTTATCTGCTACGATTTGCCAATCATATCCACCATCGTCGTCGCCATTGTTTTCTAAACCATCACCATCACACTGCTCATCATTAAAATAGAATCCAGCTTTTTTGAAACGATTGACAATTATATTTGGTTGTACATTACGCCATGCTTTTTCACGCATACGCATGGGTTGTAATAGATTTATTGAACATGGTCTGCCTTCATCAATATCGTAAACAATTTTTCGAATAATTTCTTTGCGGTATAATGTTTTGAAATGTTGTATTATTCCCTGATCCATTGGTTGTAGTATAGATGTAGTATTTGGAGGTAAAAATTCGATTTTTACAGATTTTAAATTGATATTACAATGAGCTGTACCTACAGTTATCAATAAGTAATAAAACATTTCTTTGATTTAGTCGCATTTTTTGATCAAATTTTATAAACCAATTTTTAAATAAATCACCAGTCATCCATGTCTTTTTGTTTGACTCATAACCTAATGGTAAACTCTTAACTCCTTTAAAACATCGTGGTTTAGCTGATTTTAATTCGATTAAAAGTGGTTTAATTTTTTCGGAACCTGACATATTTGATCCTAAAAAAATTGTTATCAGTTCCTTGCTTTGTTTACCACCTGAACAAGTTTCCCCTTTCAAAATAGAAGTGCGGTCGGGTAGGTATTTAAAAAACAATGCTGTCTCATTCACATTGAATACATCATCGGGAAAATATTATTTTATGATGTTTGATATCTTTCTTAACCATTCACTACATCAAGAGTCATTTACAGTAGCACTTTCCCCACATATTTTACGAAAAATTATGTCATGACGATTTTTCCAATTTCCTAACCAACCTCGAGTTGCTTTAAAATTAGAATAACCAAATTGAGTTGCGAAATATTCTGCTTTTTCTTTTGGTATTGGTCCACTTATAAGTATATTTTTATCTCTGCATTGTGTAAACCATTTGAATAAACATACCTCTATACATTTGGATATTCTGCTGGTTTTGATCTTTTACAGTCGCCTTTATTGTTTTTAAATTTTTTTTTTAAATATCCGCCTTATTTTTTAAAAATGTTGACAGTGTATTTGGAAGAATATTAAATTCTTTTGCGATATCTTGTTTTTTCCGGTTACCTTTATCCACCAATTGTATCACATGAACTTTTTCAGCTAAAGTTAAATGGTTTAATTTTCGTTTTTGAGACATGTTTAAAAACATTTGAAAATACGCACGACAAACACGACAGGTTAGTTACAGAGTTAGTAGACAGAGTGTAGACACATACTAACCAATACATACTTATTATTATTGTGTTTGCGCTAATAATCAGTTTCTATCTACTCGTTTAATCTTTATTATACAGTACTAGAGTAGATGAAACATGATACATAATAATTAACAAAATAATCACGATATACCCAGAATATCCAAATATAAAAATATACTTCAACTAAGTTATTTATCACAATTTTATATTTGAGTTAACAAGACTTTTAATACATTTAATGTTATTATAATTTCTAGGGGAATTAAAAAAAGAACGAGTTGTCGAGTTCTTCGAGTTATCGCGACTCAACTGTATTGTTATAAGAGCTTTAATCGCATGTCTAAAATATACACAATACAAATATATGTATATGTAACAATCAATAATTCGCAAAAATCGAAGCACCATCTTACGACGAGAGTTGTAGAAGTTTGGGCAGCCCTGAGAAGTTGTAAAAAGTCGTGCCTAACAACTACTTGAAATATAAAACGCACACCTTCTT